ACAAAAGAATATTGGTGTGCATTGAAATAACTACAGTAGGCTACGCGTGTTGATACTTTTTTCCCATTAAATTCCTGACTTAGGCCTACTCTCCCACCTTGAAGTATGATTGCATTAACATATTTATAGATGCTCGGTTATACGTGATTATTATATTCTAAATTGTTCATTGGCTGCAAACCAAGGTCAATTTGCCGAACCTCATTAACACCTTTAATAGTTTAAACCTGTCACTATTATGTCAACTGGAATGTTACTTTGTATGCGTTTTGCAGGCACTTATTTTTTCCACTTGGATGGTTCATAAACTGTGCTGTTCAAATGTTTTTGCATCGCGGTGCTATCTTCTAACCTTTTATTTCTTTGTTGAAACATATCAACTTAAGGCGAACGTTTCTTGTGCCAAGGATTAAATCCTGTTAGTGTTAACACCTTACTCACTGTGTAGCTCGTGCAGCACAAGGGCATAGAACCTCCGTACTCATTTTCAAGCATCCATCCTCTGCGACATTCACACCCTCATATCGTACTTTATTGAAGCAACTTTCATCTCCCGATATAACGAAAGTAAGCACGAGATATGCCATCACAGCCGGCAGGGTCAATCAATAGCCTCGTTCTGTATTGTTATTGGCGCCTGGCGATCTGAACTTTCTTTGATGTCCTGCATTAGACTACTCCCTGTGGCATTTGTTTTCTTTTTGCGTGATTTTCTACCCAAGTAGAGACTGTTTACTACCGATCAGCTCAACGTTTACTGCAAATAACGCTGGTTAATAATAAATAAGTTCTCACATGAACACTGGCTCTTTTGTCGGATTCCACATAGACTTCATCAATTCGGATTCACTTTTGTCCGGATCAAGTGTCAGTTACTTCTGACTCTGCTTCTATCTACAATTTGCATTGAACGGTACAAAACCCTACCATTTTTTGCGGTGGGCAGTTTAAACTTCGTTTTGAATGTGTTCTTTCTGAATTGTCGGTCCGGTTGAACGAAGAGCACTTATCACCGCCTGGCTAGCTGTTTTTTAGATGCATGTAACGGCCATTTGGCCTCAACTCTAGTAGAGCTAGCCTTTTGCTACCCGTGCTTACTTTCAAATCATGTCTGCATTGCCGATTGGCATAAGGCGCCATTCATCCTTATGGATAGTTGCTTCAATCGCATTTCATACCTCTTCACACTTTACTGTACATTAATTTTAACTTCCGTGTACAACAAAGTCCTTTCACTACTATGGGGTGAAATCCTTTATCCAGTTTTTCTGCCACTTCCGTACTAAGGACGAACGGTATTCTAGTCACGAACACCATGCAAATTTCTGGTCCTAAAAGCAATACACTTTTGTTTGGTTGGTTGAAATTTAACACTTTGCGAAAACATGGATTAGTAGATCTTTGCCGAATTGCTTACCTCGACTTTTGGCACCCCATTCAGGGTATGCCAAGGCGTGGATTACGTTGCATCAATAATTTCATCCTGATTTGCGGTGACGAACAGGTGTGACTTCCTGTATCTTTACTAGTCCGAGTAACGTCAGGCTGGTGCTGTTGGATAGTTCATATCCAGTCATTTTATTACTTTACAGGACCATCAAATCTTTTGAGACATCCTCATTCCATGAACACCTTGTCTTCTTAGGCATCTACTTGTGAACACTTGCTTTATTCGTAACCTTTTGTATGGATGCTAGTTTAACCGTTATGGCACCCATATTTGATATGATTTGTTCGTTAATAGTTAATCACTCTCTTGATAGAGTGGTTCATTCGAAATTCCATGTAGCAGACATTGTTTCAACACTGAGGCAATCCACTCACGCCTTTGAAAAGTGACGGGTGTAATGTACTGTTGCCACCCATTTTTAAGCCGTCTAGTTTGTTGGGTGTGTCAAACCATTAGGACATCCTTCTTCAACCACCGCCCACTTAACAAAGTGGCATGCGCTGTAAAATGTATGGTACTTTGACCAGTAGAGCCCTGAATTTGCTTCACTTTTTTCTCAGCGGCCCTCAAATAGTATCCAAATGTCGTGCTCCTGTTTGTTACTTAAAAATAAACACAGACATACCCTTGCAAATTAAGTGTGTAAAGGTTGCCGTACCTTTTTTGAGCAGTCGTACCGCTACCCTCACTATAGACAGTTGGTAGTGGATTATACACCGGTTGGTGTACACCGTGCCCTTTCAGCCCTGTGAGCCTCGGGTAGTGTCGTATGACGAACCTCCACGACCCCAGACAACCATGGAGGCGCTGGCAAAACTCCCGCCCGCATTCGCCAATGGTCTACCCCGGAGTCAGGAGGCTACCGTCACCGCTGGCAATGCCAGCACTCTAGCCGATGGAGCTGCGGCCTTGTTGTTGTGCCGTGCGGATACTGCCAAGGCCCTTGGTATATGCAGCTCTCTATATCTTATTCTTATCTGCGGATTTTAGCTTATGAGGTGTTATTTGGCGTTATGTCATGGCTTGAATAACTTAGTAAAGTAGATTTTCTTAGATTTCATGCAATAATCACGACAGTAAATCTAGATATTTTTTCATTTATTTCCACTGTAGTCGACAACTCGTTTGATTTTCAACGAGTTGTTCTTATCGGAGAGATCGTTTACTTGTGCAAGATCCCCGAAGCTCGGTGTAACAAATAAACGTACATAAGGGCATTTTTATTTGAAATTATTTGCTCCAATGCAGGCTTGAAATGCTCATTGGGAAGGATAGTTGCTTGGCATCAAAGTGGCTGTGAGCCGCAGGTGATGGGTCTTGGACCCATTGATTCGGTAAAAGGCCTAATGGAGAAGCTCTCCTGGTCTGTCGATGACGTTGATCTATTTGAAGTGAACGAGGCATTCGCCGCCCAATCCCTCGCCGTATGTCGTCAACTTATCTTTCTCTTTGCCGCCTCTCTTGTGGTGGCTTATTTTTATTCCATCATTCAGGTGCTGAACGAGCTGGGACTTCCTAAGGAGCGGACAAACGTGAACGGTGGAGCAATAGCCCTGGGTCATCCGATTGGTTGCAGTGGAGCTCGAATAATCGTCACTCTGGTCCACAGCCTCCATCGCCTGGCTCATAATTATGTTGCTAACATTAAGACCAACTCTGCCAATTGCAGGAGGGTTGGACAAGATGGCAAACTGAGGGGTATTGCGGCTCTCTGCGTCGGTGGAGGCATGGGCATGGCGATAGCAGTGGAGATTCTTCCCCATCTGACTGTCTCTGATTGCCCACTGATTGAGTTTTAAATGACTGTATCTATGATTCGCATTCTCCCATCATCTAGAATAAAGAATGTTTTTTTCTGGACCTCCATTTCCTTTTGCCCAAGTGCGCACATTACAACTACCGGCATTTGAATATCACGCCTTCAAAAACCTATGTTGGATTTCTTAACCCAAATAACCTGAGTGCAGTTTGAGATTTCAAATGCTGTTGTCAGATTAACTGAAGACATTAATCTTATTGGCTCTTTTTTGTTTGTCCGTCTAAGTCAATGCAGAGGAGTGAGA